CTCACTGTGTCACTCTCTGTCAAATAAATAAATAAAATCTTTTTAAAAAAATAAAAATTAAAAAAAGTGGTCAACATCACAATTATCAAAGAAATGCAAATCAAAACCACACGGAGATATCACCTCACACCTGTCAGAATTGCTATTATCAAAAAGACAAGAGGAGCACCTGGCTGGCGCAGTCAGTAGAGCACGTGACACTTGATCTCAGGGTCATAAGTCCAAGCCCCACTAAGTAGGCATGGAGCCTACTTTAAAAAAAAAGAAAAAGAAATAATAAGTGTTGCCTAGGATGTGGAGTAAAGTGAACCCTTGTATACTGTTAGTGGGAATGTAAACTGGTACTGCCACTGTGGAAAACAGTATGGAGGTTCCTCAAAAAATTAAAAATAAATATACCCTATGATCTAGGTATTCTACTTCTGGGTATTTGAAGAAAATGAAATCACTAACTTGAAAAGATATCTGCACCTGCATGTTCACTGCAACATTATGTACAAGAGTCAGGAAATGGAAGCAACCTAAATGCCCACCAATGGATGAACAGATAAAAAAAAAAGTGGTATATTTATACAATGGATTATTATTCGGCCGTAAAAAATAAGGAAAAAATCTTGCCATTTGTGACAACATGGACAGACCATGAAGGGCATAATGCTAAGCAAAGAAAGTCAGACATAGAAAGATAAATACTGTATGATCTCACTTATATGTGCAATCTAAAAAAACAAAGACAAAATGAGGTCATAGATACAGGTAACAGACTGATGGTTGCCAGAGGTGGGATGGGATGTGGGGGTAGAGGAGGGACTGGGTGAAGAGGGTCAAACAGTGCAAACTTCGGTTATAAAATAAGTCATAGAGATGTAATGTACAGCATGGTGACTATAGTTAATAATACTGTCTTGCATGTTTGAGAGTTGCCAAGAGAGTAAACCTTAAAAGTTCTCATCACAAGAAAAACCATTTTCTATGATGACAGATGTTAATTAGACTTATTGTGGCGATCATTTCACGATACATACAATTATCAAATTGTCATGTTGCACACCTGAAATAAAATGTTACATGTCAATTATACCTCAATTTTTAAAGTTTAAAAGATTAGATTAAAAAAAAAAGAATAGCCATGCACAGAACCCTAAGTCCCTGTAACTGTTTAAAACTACTTTCATGAAACATCTATCCATCTACGTCAGAATGGAAGATGTTTAACAGTCTTGCCCAAAGGGAATCCCCCCCACCACCAAAGCCTTAACTAGCACACAATGAAGGAACACCAACCTTCTCAAAGTTAGAAAAACAAAGATGACCAAAGCTTCCCTCACTAAGTTCCATGCCACTCAAAAGAGCTGTTCACACTGTGACATACACAGAGCAGGTGAATAAATACATGTTGAGATGAGCTCATGACTGCTCTCTTCCACATATTTTCCAGGATATTCTCACCATTTTTTTCATTCTATATATTCCACCCCACTTAAAGAGTGAAACTTCACATTAATAATACATGGTATTCCCTTCTCTGCTTGTTTTCCTAGTCCCACTTTCCCAATACCCACAAAATCAGACAGGAGATGCTGCCCCATCTAACTGCTGGTTCTACACTAGAAAAGATTTCAAGAAACATAACAGATCAATAGTATTCTGCCCTTTTCTTGTTTAGAAAAAAAATGGTTATTTAACTGGCCAAGGTCTCAACATGGAATAGGTCAGAATCCTCTTTGGAGACTGACTCATGGCATGCAGATTTCTATTTAACATTTTTCACCAACTGAATTTTATGCAGAGCAAACCCAACTCTAATTTGATATACTGTAACTCCTCCTAAATAGGCAGACATTCATTTATGTCCTAGCATATTGCCTCACCACACAGAAAACTTTGGTCAGGCTTCTATGATGGGCTTTAGAAAGACATCATGAAAAGGAAACAGTGAAAGTGTAATTTTGACCTAGGAAAAAAAAAATAGAGTACCCCAATAAAATAACCACTAGAACAGAAAAAAAAAATGTCAAACTGCCTCCCAACTTCTCCTTGAACAAAATAAACCAAATGAATAGGAGCCACCAATCCAATAAAACAGCGTCCACAACTGACAAAAAATTTAAAAAAAAAAAAACTTCTTTAACAATATGTACTAACTACTCTTGAAAACATCAGGAAAAAAAAAAAAAGAAAGAAAGAAAAGAAAAAGTTACTGATCCAACAGCCGGAGAAAAAACAAGAAAAATTAAAATCAAGCCATTAGAAGACCAGCTAAAAAAATATACATACCACAGAAGTGTGACTGGAAGGGAGGCTGTGGGGGCGCTTTATCTAATGCAAATTTGTGATGGACCAAAGCTGCCACAGCAATAATCTGCAAACAAAGGAGGGAAAAAGATCACTTATCAGATGCCTAGTGTGCATTCTGCATTCTCACCAAAACTACCCAGAACATTGAAAGATAAATATTTTAGTCCATATAGATATTTTAACTTTTTATTATGAAAGTATTTAAACAAACAAAAATAGAGAAAATAGAAGGGGAAAACAAGTTCTGACCTGGAACTGGAACCCAGGACTCCTGACTCCCAGCCAGGGATCTCAAAAGAAACAGGTAAGTGATGTTTAAAGACTCAATCTTTAAAAAACAAGCTATAGATATGCATGACCAATAATCTGGAGGATGCCAACCATGGACGAAGCTGGGAAAGAGGGATTGTGGGTATTCATTTTCTTTTTAAAATTTGTACTTTCTGGGGCGCCTGGCTGCCTCAGTCAGTAGAGCATGCGAATCAAGATCTCAGGGATGTGACTTGGGTGTAGAAACTACTTTTTTTTAAAAAAAACTGGTACTTCCTCAATTTTGTGTGAACACCAAGTACTGCTGTTGTGATCAGAAACAGTAGAGGCACAGGAAAAACTGTAGAAAAAAGCAGAAAATCAAATCACATCTATAATAAAATCCTAACTTCTTAATAAAATATGCAGAGAAGACAGAAAAGAAATACACAAAAATGTTAATAGTAGTTATCTCTGAGGGCTGGGGTTATTAGGAGACTTTTCTCCCTAAACTTTTGTATGTTCATATCCAGATTTTAATGTTTTATATCAACCTATTCATCTACGAGCTTCCTACGTGGTCTCCCTGTTTCTGTGCTGACACCAACAATGGCTTCCCATGGCACCGTGTTGGAGAAAGCTTGCTGTCCCTAGGGGGAAAAAAACCCCTTTCTCTGTGCCTAGTTAACTCCTACTCACCCACCAGTATGCAAGGTCCATCCCTACTTCTTCAGAAAAGACTTCTGGGGTGGATACTGTGGTGTGTCACCCAGAAGTCCTCTTCAGGATAAGGGCCCTCATTCTCCCAACTACTAAGAAAGCTGGAGAAATTCTGAAGGGTCATCGCTATGCCTGAGCTCCCTGGGATTGGCTGAGACCTTTGCTGTAACTGCAATGCAGTTTTCTCCCACTGCCAGGCTTGCTGCCTTCACTCTTCCACAGGGGCTGATCTCAGACCATCCCAAGAAGTTTCCCTAACCAGTGACACCTTCCTGGCCTCCTAGGCCTGGGTAGCTTCCTTTATTTGATGCTATCCAGAGCACATGTATCTTTTCTAAGTTTTACATCTATTTCTGCTATCGGGCTAATATCTGTCTCCTCCTCTGTATTTTGAGTCACAAGTATTCCATCACACTAGCACATTGTTTAGAAACATTTGCTGAGTCAACAACTTTATTAACCAAGTAATCTAAACCCTTAGGAAGCCATCTAATTTACTTAGGACTGCAAAATGTCTCTCCTATTCATTCATTCATTCATTCACTCACACTCACTCACTCACTCAACATTTACTAAGAGAAAAAACAGCGAAGTCAACTCTCATATACCCATCATTCACCTTCAGCTATCAACTCAATATTCCTATCCATTTCCTGCCTCCACCCAGATTATTTGAAGCAAAATTCAGACCTATCACTTTATCCACAAATATTTCAGCATGTATCTCTAAAACAAGGTTTCTCAACCTCAGCACTATGGACACTTTTGACCGAATAATTCTTTGTTATGGGGGCTGTTCTGTTCACTGTGGGAGGTTTAGCAGTATCCCTGGCTGCCAATAGCACCACCCTCCACCCCCGAGTTGTGACAACCAAAAATGTCTCCAGACATGACCAAATGTCTCCTAAAGGGCAAAATCTCACCCCGTTAAGAACCACTACTTTAAAAGATAGTAAGTTTTTAAAATGTAACACAATCATAGCTAATACAATTAATAGTAATTCCTTAAGATCACTAAATATCCAGGCAGGATTCAAATTTTCATGTTTTCCCAACAATCTCAATTTTATTTACCAAGTAAGTCCATACTTTGCAATTGGTTGATATGTAAAACTATAGGCACAATAGCTCACCATCTATTATTTCTCTTGCAATTCATTTGTTGAAGAAACTGGGTCATTCATCCTATAGAGTATCCCCACGGTATCGGTTTTGCTGCTTATATTCCCATAATACCATTTAACACGTTCCTCTGTTTCTGTACTGTCGGTGAATTCACATTTAGATGTAAAGGCCTGATCAAAATCACATTGTTTTTTGGCATGAGTATGTTAGAGGTGCTACTGATTACTTCTATCAGACGGCACAGGCACATCATGTCTGGTTAGCTCTCTTTTGGTGCTATTAGCAACCACTGGTTGCTAGATCCACTATCTCATTAGGGATTGCAAAGTGGTAATATTCAATTTTTCCTTCATCACTTCTTGGATAGAAACCTTCTATAAAGTGAAACTTCCCTTCATTGATTATTTGGTTACCTGAGGTACAATATGAGTTCATAAAAAGACCAAGAGAAATGCTAGATTCAATCCGTTTATTTACCAGTTGTCAAACCAGTGAGTTGGTTCCCTAGCTGCCTTCACAGATGACCAACGCAGGGTTGTTAGTGCTTACACGATTAGTGCGAACTCATGTGTTGCAATCTGCTGCAACTATCCTTATCCGTACTCAAATTGTCCCATCTTTGGCCATTAGGAAACTCCAAGTTGACTCCTAGGCCCTTGTGACACATCTTCAGTAGATTTTAATATCGTCCTTGTTTTCTAGTATAACTAGGTATTTCAGGCTTATCTTGGACATTTTCTGCCCAAAATCAGCCATTTCTCCATGAAGCCCTACTTCCTTTATTGTGAAATGGTATGAGAAACCTCACTGTGGGGGCTAGAGGATGGGTATTTTTTTTTTTAACTAATTAAACCTTTCCCACTTAACTGTTAACTACGGCCATCTACTAAATTATTATTAAAAGATCAAATCACATAGAAAAAAATTCAGAGTAAAAACAATGCCAAAAGGCTGTTGTTAAAAAACATCCCCTTCAATGTCAAAAGGATTTAAAAGCGAACAATAAAGACACTCCCACTGACCAAAGACAAATTTAAGCATCAAAAGTAAGTAATAATGACGGCAATGAACTGAAACATAATGAGTAAATATAAAACCTGTGAGTTCATAATATTCCATAAAAGAGGAAGCAAAATAAAAGTAACAACAAAAATAAACAAATCACTGGTCAACACTGCATGTAATGCAGGCCCCCAACTTCCTACTCAGAAAATTGGCAATGAAAGAGAAAGAAGTACACACTGACCTCATCTTTCCTGTATGAACTACTGCAGCATAACCAATAGTGGTGGTTAATGAGGAAAAGTTAATTTTATAGAAAATTTTAATAAACGTTCTAATATTTAACATGTTTAATAAACATGGAAAGGATGAGAGAATTAAAAAACTGTTTTATAAGTCCTAATGAAATAATTCAGGTAAAAAATAAAGGGGGGGTCATTAGACCAGTGGTTCTCAAATGGGAACAATTTTGGTCCCCACCTCAAGAGGACACCTGGAGGGCGCCTGGGTGGCTCAGATGGTTGAGCGTCTGCCTTCGGCTCAGGTCATGATCCCAGGGTCCTGGGATCAAGTCCCGCATCGGGCTCCCTGCTCAGTGCAGAGCCTGCTTCTCCCTCTCCCTCTGCCATTCCCTCTGCTTGTGCTCTTCTATCTCTCTCTCTGTCAAATAAATAAAATCTTTAAAAAAAAAAAAAAAAAAGAGGACACCTGGAAATGTGTGGAGGCATTTTTGGTTGTCACAGGTAGGGGGGAGGGGTGCTACCTGGCATCGGGCAGTGGCCAGCATTACTGCTAAACATCCCGCAATGCCCAGGACAGCCCTCACAACAATGAATAATTCAGCCCAAAACATCAGTAGTGCCATCGTTAAAAAACCCTCCTTTAGATGAAAACTTGAACCCACTAATCAATCATAGCCCCACTAATAGTGGTTTAACCAGACATTATATGCCAACTGATATATAATTTGCAGTATGAAATATATCATACCACCACCTATAAAGTATACTGACCCAAAAAGTCAAAACTGAATCTAATCAATTCTTTAGTGCTAACTAGCAGGGGCCAGCACACTTGTCCTGTAAAGAGCCAGATACTACGTATTTTAGGCTTTCAGGTCACACGGCCCCTGTCATGACTACTAACTCTACAGCAACTGCAGATAATACGTAAACGAATAGACATGATGTCTTTCAATTAAACTTTATTTACAAAAACAGAGGTAAGGCTGGATTTGCCCACAGGCCATACTGTGCCAACCCCTGGTATAGAGGAAGAAGTCCAATGACACAAGGAACCAAACACAGAAAATGGGACATTCTATGAGACAATGAAAATGATTCTTAAATAAGTCAATGTCAATGGAAAAAGAGGGTGGGAGGGAGCTGCTCCCATTTAAAAGAGATTCAAGAGACATAAAAATGAAACACCATCTGTGAATCTTATATGGATCCTGATTCAAGTAACCCACTGGTAGAAAACATTTCTGAGTCAGTAATATTGTAATAACTTTATATGGTGACAGATGATTGCCAGACCTATCACAGTGATCATTTTGTAATGCATAAGAACATCAAATCACTATGTGGTACACCTGAAACTAAGAGATGTCAAATATAATTTAACAAAAAAAAGACACTTTTGATAAACAGAATCATGTGAATATGGACTGAGTATTTTAGGTGGTATCAAGGTATCACCAGTATAGTTACTAAGTGCAAGAAAGTGTGCATGTTTTGAGAGATGCGTACCAAAGTATACAATGGTAAATTACACAATATCGGACCTCAACTTTTAAAATGCTTCAACAGGAAAAAAAAAAAGAGGGGAGTAAACAAGTGTGCCAAAATCTTACTAACTACTGAATATGAGTAAAAGGAATATGGGAGTTCATTATATTATTCCAAGTCCACTTAAAGTTTGCCAAAATAAAAAATTCAAAAAACAAAAAATGAAAATAAGTCCAGCAATTTAAGTCTTTAAAGAAAAACTCCAACATCCAACAAATTCAATTCATTCTCCAAAATGGAGTCTGGTAGTGCATTAGTATTCTTTCTTCTCCAGAAAGAACAATTTCCCCTTGTAGAACAGTTGTACAGTTCAGCAAGCATTGCATCTAAAGCATGGGTACACAAATCTGCCCTATTTCTTTACCTCATTTTGATGTGTCTTTGCATTCTGCATTGTCTTCATGCTGAAAGACATGACCACGAGTGGAGGAGGACCAACATCTTTAATCACATTCACCAGGTCTGGTTTCAAGACCATTGCTTCAACTTTACACCAACTGACTGGCTGATTCAAGAGCTCTGAAAGAGAATAGATACAACAGATCAATAGCTGTTGCTGAAAAAGTAAAACTACTATAATTAAGATATCTGTAATTAACTGACATAGTCTGCAACCCCATATTCTCACAAGAATGTCTTATTACAACATCTAACTAAAAATAAGCCCAACTACTGGATTGTATGCAAAGCCGTGTGTGTGTGTGTGTGTGTGTGTGTGTGTGTACACACGTTCATCTTCTTGGGAAAAAGGTCCACAGCTTTCATCAGATTTTCTGAAGAATCCAGGACCCCAAATAGGTTTAAAAAAAAAAAAAACCACCCTGGAGGAATCACAAAACATTTTTAAGAGATTCACGAAGCCAAAACAGAGTATCACAGATGCAAACACTGGAAAATATCAGGTAAGAAACCAAATAAGCACTCGCCGCCTCTGGCAGGGATGCTTGCCCTCCTTCAGAGGCCACCAGTCCACTATGTACAGCAGGTGGGCGTCATCGGCCGGCTCAGAAATACATGCCAACAGCAGCACAAAGAGGGATGCATGCCAACGACCACCTGGACTCACGAAGGCCTCCCTCCCACTAAACTGCCAGGCACCGCAGGGATCAAGTGGCTCCAAACATATTCCCTATACTCACTCAAGAACACCTTGAGGAAAACAACATAAAAAAGGAAGTAGACGCACTGAAATACAGAGACCAATTCCTTAACTTCTAAAAACCGCCTCTATCAGCAATCTGGCTTTTCAAACGTAAATGTTTCCTTACGTGGATTTTTCACTTCGAGCCAACAAGGTCCTCTGATCTTTCTGTTCATCAAGAACATTTCCAGGCTGGATGTGTTGGTCCCAAATACGTGAGAAAAAGTTTCTCCTTTCAAATCCTGAGGAAGCTGTGGCATTTCAGCCTGAAAAAGGCAAAGAGGAAAAAAAAAAAAAACAAAAACCCTTTTTTGTTTAAAACTATTACTTCACATTTTCCAAAGTCTGTATTTGAAATAAACAAAAGCCTCTCTACAAACCACCGGAAGAAACCCCTTTGATATATATGAAATGTAATTTGCAACAAATGAAATCCAAAACAATTCACAGTAGGACACAAAAACAATTCACAATGACAAAATAATGCATCTTGATGGCATCCATTAGAAGAAAAATAGGCCAAGAAGCTCCCCCAAAAGAGGATTTCTGTCCAGAACTGTACATGCCTTACTGATAAAGAATAGCCAAATAAGTACCACTCCATTAGAAGAATAAAAGCAAGAGTGGAACTCATTTAAAATGTTTCTATGGTAGTTTTCATCACCACTGTCAGAAACATTTCTTAACAGTTTTCCTTTTCCAACATTGTGAGATCAAAACTCTCTAACAAAGGTAAAAAGAGGTTAAGGCCCAGTTAATTAACATCGCGCAGCAATGACCTTGCCTATCAGGAGAGCAACAACAGCACTACAGCGATGCTACTGATGGTCCTCTCACCTTTCTGCTGCTCAGAAGGGACACTTCAAGCGACTAATAATGTTCAACTCCATCATGTGGCATTTATTCCAGTTGACAAGTAAGCAGTTGTGCAGTTTCAACTTATTTATTTAAAGATGCATACTTGAAAGCCGAGAAAGGCAGTACAACCGGTATTCTATATATTCAAATTAATTTTATCCATTTTAATTATTCATTACTGTAAGTCCACCTCAATGAACTGTGGGCTTGAGGAGCCCTGCTGATACTCCTAATTGAAAGCCAGTTGAAATTTCAAAAATAGAGGAATGTCATGCTCAACCAAAACCCAGTAATTTTCTTTGACTTACCGAGTATCTAACTTCCAAGTACTCAGATTTTTCTGGAACATCAGGTATCTCAAAAGCATAGTTCTTTTCCACTGGCTGGGTAAGTAGATATTTAAAAATCATTAAGACAAAAACTTTTCGCAAATTAAAATGACAAGCATTACATGCACAACACATGTCCCTGTATTCAACACCGAGGAATCTAGTATCCTTATGGAACACAAAGGTAAATAAAGCCAAAACAGCACCCTTTCCCCCTTTCCACTAGGACTAAAACACCCAATGACAAGACTTCTCCTAGACACTAGAGAACTTAGAAATATTTGCATTCACGAAGGGAAATAAAAGATTAAAAATTTTTATAATGTTAATGTATTAAATCATTTGCTACTCTTTGATATTAACCAACTCCATCTTGCTAGAATTAATATTAGCATTAAAATTACAGCTCATATTTACTGAGTGCTTACGAAGTACCAAGGACTGTTCTAATCACCTAATAAGAATTCAGTGGCTTAACTCTTCCAACAACTCTTGAAATAGGTTCCCATTTCTCAGGTGAACAAACAGGCCCAGAGAATTCACTGAGCCCTTGTCCAAGGTCACACACTACAAAGTCCTATGGCTAGGACTTAAAGCACAAGCAGTCTCGTCCCAGCACCTATACTCTTCACCATTATACCACACTATTTCTAAAATTTTAGAGAACTGATCCATCAGCCATAATTCAAAGCTCAAATAGTTAAGATGATTAACCTTATCTTCAGCAACTCAATCCTCCTCTCCTGCAATCACTGTTAAAAGTATGCTGAGTTACAAGCCTCTATGATGATAGCCAAAGGTGTCATTTATAATCACACTATAATCAAGACCGATCAATATGTAACACACAAATAATAGATTTTTGTCCTATCAGAAATAGCATCATAGTCCCGATTTTTAAATATAAAACCTTAACCTTCTGACCAAAACAACCTGCCAATAACTAATAAAAACAAGATCAGAAGAGTTTCTTCTCCATTTCAGAAAAAGAACACAAGATATGCTACAAGGATTGGAAATGATTACTTTGCTATGTGTTATCTTTCTATTCAAATTCACGAAAATTATTTTCTAAGCAGTTTAAAGAGAAAGAAAATATTTTTACAAATCTTACATACTAATTTTATATTGATATCTGTGAAATTTCCATTCAATGAATTATAGCCACAAAAAAGACATTTTGCACAAAGAGACATAAAAGAACTATTTTGTAAGTCAGGAAATGAACAAACAACTAATAAACGTGGGGGGGGAAACTATCACCAAATACAAACCTTGGACTTGAACTTCATGATTTTATATTTTGCTGCTATTTTCTCATCAAATTCATCATAAACATCCTTCATTGTAACTACAGTTTCTGTTTCTTTTCCTGTATTTAGATCAATTTTCTGCTCTCCCATGGAGAGAAGAGGGGAGAGAAAAAAAGTATCTGTACATGAGATCTTTCTAACAAGAAACCCAAATCTAATTCAATTTTCACCTTCAGCCATTTAAACATTTAAAAGAACAGTCTTATAGATAGAGTTCAAAGATAGCAACAGACCCCAAAAATGTACTAAACCCAATGCCCAAATCTTCCCAGTAGCATCATAAAAGCACATCAGGTAAAAAGGACTGATTCTACAAAATGGGAGAAGAGAGTTGTAAATCCTGACCAAGAAGCTTCAGATTCACAGTTCAACTGAGATCTCGGCAGGGGGGGAGGCTGGGCTTGGTAGGGGAGTGTGGATGGTAAGTCCCAATTTAAAAAGGAGGAGCAAATGGAGCTGAGCTGGTTCAATGGCTGTGGAGGGACCAGTACTGCTGCGTGCACAGAAGCATGACAACGGGGCCAAATGCCCTGTGATGTTTTAGAGCCATACACTCCCAACCCTGATTACTATGGCAATGAGGAGTGGGGGAGAAGATACTATTATATACTAAAACTCATACTTTGACACTGTAACAAGTCAAAAAACACTGTTTTACTCCATTCTCTATTTTTCCCAACCCAAGGAGCTGCTGACAACCAGTGGTTACTAGGCAGGCAGCAAAAAAGCAGCATCAAGGCTGTGGAGAAGTCATAGCCCCGCTGAAGAATACGGCTGGTGGCAAAACATACAATGTACTGGGAATTAGAGGCTAATCACTAATGATTACCATTTCTCGGGGAAGGAAGTAGAGTGTTCGCTCGATGTTTTTCACCATGACGCAACAGCTCACATGGGTTTCGGCGGATTCGATCCAAACTTTGCCAAACAGGAATACCACACCTAAAAGTAAGGGAAAACCACGAGAAAAGAAACATTTCAATTATATCACATTAAAGGGGCAATATAAAGGCTCACTGAATGGTCCACACATTTATGCCTTCATGACGCATTTTTTTTTTTACAGTAAATTTGTATCTGCTGCCCACTCCGCAAGCCCAGTTCGCTTACTTAGTACTTAAGCCACATGACAATATCACACTAGTAAAACCTGTAACCACTGAGATGGTTACAGGGGACAGAATGATTCTCTAATTTGGTGTAAACATTTTCCCTAGAATTAGAGACATCGCAGGTAAATGGAGACAAACCTCAGTTACTGGGGAGACATCCCAAGTCCAAGTAGACACACTTGGGGAACTACTGAGACAGACACCCCAGGTTAGTGCAGAAACCCCTGGGGAATTGCAGAGACATCCCAGGTCAGTGTAGACATTATCTCAGAAATTAGAGAGATACCCTAGGTCAGTGTAGGGAAAAAAACTTCCCTAGAACCAAGACTACCCAGATTAAAAGAAACAAAAAAAGCAAACTATTCTCCAACGAATCTCCTATTTAAACCTCTTATAAAGTGTAAGAATACTAAACTGCTTTTTAGCACTTGTACTTACCAATAAAAATTAACATTCATGTATAATAATAACTATGTATGGTACATCAATATTTTTTATATGTAAAATTGTATTTGGGGAAAAACATAATAGATCTCATATACCTTATTCTATATAATCATAAATATCTCATAATACGGCTCAACTATTCTCTCCTATTTTACCCTTTCTACCTCATAGACTACTTAAAAATCTGGATAGGTAGTGTTTGTCAGGTTCCTTGCTCTTCTATTTCTGTGTAACAAATGTTCTAGTAACCAAATCAGCAGACATGCCCCTTTTGAGATTCCTATGTAATGTATACCACAAAGTAAAAACAAGCCTTTCTAGACAGACATCAAGTCACTGTTCCTAAAAACTGGACATCAAGAAAGGACTCCAGAGATTGGATAGTCAACCTAAAAGATGGCCACTGTGCAAAATCCTGAGCTCTGGGCATAATTAGACAGCAGTAATCAACATAGCCACTCAACACAGCCACTTGTCTGAGACACTAAGAAAATTCTGGCGCATGCAAAGGCTACTGTTCACAAGGCCAATTACTCCAGTTTCACAAGACAGCTCATCAGTGCTTCCTTTTGTCACTCGTTCTAGTAGAAATAAGACCATCTAAAAATTTTCATTCTGCAGATGATTAAAATTCTTAAAAGAGTTGTGTGATTTTCAGCTGGGGTGGGGGGAAGAAGAGGAGAGGGAAGGGAGGACTGTGGGGAACGATTAAAAAAGAAAAAAATCACAGGAGCTCAGAAAATTAAAAGTCATCCTCACAACAGTTAGAGACGAAAAAACAAAATTCCATGCAAAGAAAAATAAAGACCCTAATATTGGATTCACAGATTCAAATAGCTCATTTTACAGTCAAACTAATATCACACTTCATGCACACATTTGACACTGTTTATGCCTCATTTGCCACAAAAAGATCATGGTAAACAAAGATTACATTCCCCCCAAAGTTACTAGCTGAAACCAGGTGCAGTCAGGATTATTCAACCTTGAAAAAGTCATAATGAAGACAGGATATCTTCCCATATGCAAAGAGTAAGATTCTTTTCATAATTATGGAGCATTCAGCAACAACTGACTTACTTAGAATCTGTAAGAAAGTGAGACACAATAACAGGGTCTTTGGGAGTACTTCGTTTTTATTAGCAGCATTGATTTCACCAAGGCTCAGTGATCATTACCTGCTATCATGATGAAACTGTTCAACCCCCTGAGATTAAAGGACTTTTTTTTTCCAAGCCATCCTTTTTAACCCATTGGCATCAATCACAGAGGACACAGCTTAAGAAGTACCGCACAAGAGCACAGTGGACTGAGGGTGAGAAGCCCAGAACTCTGCCACTAACGGCTGCCCACTTTACATTTTGGAGCGTTAGCTTCCCCCTCTGTAACTAGACCAGATTGTCTGAGGCTTTCTCCAGCACTAGAAATTTCCTTTTACCATGGCATTTGGAAGATAGAGCAATAACAGACTAGTACCTCTTTCAAATGCAAAATATTTCCTAATAGTGCTTGAAAAGGCCGATCCTTGACTATGGTGGTACCAGGAATTTGGTAACAATACATATCACAAATTGGTTGCTTTCCTAATACAGCTGTGCTTCAATGCCTCAATCTTAACCTCCAACACCTATTACTACAGATGAGCATTAGCCATTAGAAATTTCTGTGATGACACAACTGTTGTTATCTGTGCCATCCATGGATATGGTAGCTGCTAGCCACATGTGGCTATTAAAGCATTTGAAATGTGGCTACTGGCTGAGAAGCTGAACTTTAAATCTTATTTCATTTTAATTTAAATCTAAATTTAGGGGCGCCTGGGTAGCTCAGTCGTTAAGCGTCTGCCTTTGGCTCAGGTCATGATCCCAGGGTCCTGGGATAGAGCCCTGCATGGGGCTCCCTGCTCTGCGGGAAGCCTGCTTCTCCCTCTCCCTCTGCCACTCCCCCTTTTTGTGCTCCCTCTCTTGCTGTCTCCCTATCAAATAAATAAAATCTTTAAAAAAAATAAATCTAAATTTAAAGAGCTACATGTGGACATGTTTGGTACCACAGTGGGCGGTGCAGCTCTAGACCCTGTCCTGCAAAACCATGCTGTTTTTTTTTTTTTTTTAAAGAGTATCAACCGGGGTGCCTGGGCGGCTCAGTCAGTTAAGCGTCAGGTCATGATCCCAGGGTACTGGGATCGAGCGCCACATCTGGCTCCCTGCTCAGCGGGGAGCCTGCTTCTCCTTCTGCCTCTCCCCCTACTTGTGCTTTCTCTCTCTCTCTCAAATAAATAAATAAAATCTTAAAAAAAAAGACTTTAAGAAAAAAGAGTATCAACCAGTAAACAGGGGTGCCTGGTTGGCTCAGTAGTTAAGCGTCTGCCTTCAATTCAGGTCATGGTACCAGGGTCCTGGGATTGAGCCCTACATCGGGCTCCCTGCTCGGCAGGAAGCCTGCTTCCCCCTCTCCCACTTCCCCTGCTTGTGTTACCTCTCTTGCTGTGTTCTCTCTCTGTCAAATGACTACATAAAATCTTAAAAAAAAAAAAAAAAAAACAGTAAACAAAAGGTAGAAATAATAAACTCATTTTACACAGGAAAGAAGATTGTTTCTTAAGGTTCTAATCCTTGGCAACTGACACTGGGCAATCTGATGCTTTATACGTGGATTAACGGGGGAGGGGGCACCATTCATCTCAATGTGACCCATTCTTCCCCTACGCCACTATAAGGCTTTAAGAGGCAATCTCAGCAAGAGCAGTAAATGCACTTCTGGCTCTCTGAAACCTTTCATGTGCATCTACAGGACTGTCAGTCGCTGTGCAGTTTATTTCAATGAACATTTATTAAATCCCTACTATGTGCTTGGTACCGTACTGAAGCTGAAAATAAAAGGTCCCAGCCACCCAGGAGTTAAATAAAAGGCTTTGGGGCAAGAAAAATGCAGAATCAGATCTTTACAAAATAATATGACAAACAGTATGTGGGAAAGGGTAGGATGGGGTACCAGAGAAAGGGCCCTTAGGCCAGTCTGGAGGATCAGGAAAACTTTCAGGACATGACACACCTGGGCTGAGCCAAACACAAGGAGTAAGGGAACACGGTAAAAGAGCAACAGGTACATACAGGCAACTATCTCTAGAACACAAAAGTTGTACATGGTATCAGAAGACTTGCTAAGGAACTTGGACTTTACATTGTAGGGAGCAGCCATGGAGTTTTCTTTTCTTTTCTTTTCTTTTTTAAACAAGGGAATGATGTGATCAGTGCTACCCTTCTGATCAATTGCTCTGGCTGAAATGTAGGGAATGACAGCTGAGGGATCCCTTAGGAAGCTGGTGCAATGGTTTCAGTAGGCAAGAAAGAATCTGAGGTGGAAGCTCCAAATAGAAAGAGAAGACAGCTTGTCTACTTCAGGAGGGGAAAATTAACAAGACTTGGTGAGGAAAGTGAAGGAACAGGGCAATCAAGGCTTATTCCCAATTTTCTGGTTTTGGCGGGACCATTAACCAAGACAGGGAATCAAATCCAGCATCAAGCGAATATAGCAAAGGGATTAGAATTGGGAAGGGCAGGCCCACCACATCACACAACTCCAGCAAGCGCCACAGTGTTGTGCTCCAGGGAGCCTAAAACACATGAAGCGCATGTGAAAATGGTGTCCCCCTGAAGCCATACAACGGGGCAGGCCAGGGTTTCAGCAATGGATGGGAAGTACTTGCTCAGCCTCACGCAATCCCACTTACCAGTCTACCTTCCACTGGTGAGTAGCAAAGAGGTAACCAAGGAGGTGAGAAGGTCTAACCAAATTATCTTGTCGCAGCTAAAGTAGATACCATTTCTAAGATGGTTTATTCTCTACCTAAGAAACTAACACGTGGCAATTTGCTACACAAATGGCTCTGCACGTGCTCCTATGCATGTGATATGCTGAAGCTTCTGCCTCCCCTCCGCAGAGACAGTAACAACTTTCCAGTTAGTCAATGCCTGATTATCTTTAAGGTAAATCTGGCCTTAAAGTCTGATGGTTAATACTCACGCTTCTTACTCATTCACTTGCTTTACTGATACTCTATTTTCACCGGATGCAACCTCCAGGAAACCACTTTGAAAAATGCACAGTTGCATCTACCCTCACACCCAGACGTGGATCTGAATAAAGGCAACTCTATTTCAGGATATGTACAGTATTTTATATTAATCTGACATACTCTGGCATGCCCAGCCCTGTGGTGAAGAAGGTCTCAAGGAATAAAAAAAGAAACTAGAGAGCCTCCTGGCTCTGAGTCAGAATTCACATTTTCAGTTCATTCAGAGGAGGACCTGGGAATCATCCTTGATTCCTCCTTTCTGTCAGCCCCCACATCAATCCATAGACAGGTTCATGTCAAAATACACGTGAGATACATCCACTTCTCTCCTTCTCCACAGCCACCACTAGGCCAAGTAACTAGCATGCCTGCCCTGGACTGACTGTTCTCCAGGGCTTCCTCACTAGCCTGATTCCAGTCTCCCCCTTCCCCCCAAACACACTATTCTCCACACAAACCGGAAGGCTCTTGTTAAACTGTAAACCCAACCATATGACCACCACCCCCGCCCCACCAGCACTTAAAATCCTCCACCACGTCCCCCTCTGCTCTTAGAGTAAGATCTAAATTCCTCAGTAGGGCTTTCAAGGTCCTTCATTATCTGCCCTTTGCTTTTGTCTCCAACTTCATTTTCTACCAATCTTGTCCCTTGATTTACTGTGCTACAACCACATAGGTCTCCTCTCTCCAGGCCTCTGTGCTCACTGGTTCCTCAGGCTGAAATGCTCTTTATTCAGCTCAGCATGTGCCTCAAATCTCAGCCTTCCTCAACCATCCCCCAACTAAATGCCTTCATACCATCTATCAACTTACCTTCTTTACCACACATTGCCCCCCCCCACCCCACTAAAATGTAAGCTCCATTAGGATCAGGAATTTGTCTAGCTTGTTCAGGCCATCTCAGTGCCTGGCACACAACAGGTGTTCAATGTGCTGGATAAAGAAACAATTAATGACTGATTCCATTTAAAATAAAGTGTGTAACTACAACTTTAGATACATCGAAGGTAAACTACAAGTACACGTTCCAAAATCACATATAACTGGTTTACAGAAAAAACATTTTTAAGGATTGATTATTCATACCACAGCTCCTCTCAAGCTGCGTTGCTCACACACTTTACAATGAGTGAGTGCTGCTCTCTTACTACACACGTACATGAGGACAGAGCCTTTGTCAATTATAATAACTAAACCACTTAAGGGAAAGGCAATATTCTGTATTAAAGACATACATATGATTACCTGGTTGGTTGTACTGATCTTCATAAGCATCTAGCCAATAAAACTGAAACACTTGCTCCTCATCTGTCCCTTTTACCAGTGGGAGGTGACTGGAATCCACTTGGACTTCCTGGGCTGAGAAACTGCTGTCATCTTCCTGATCAATGTCCCAACAAGAAACATCTGGGAGAAAACTTCCCCTGCAGAAATTACATTTTGAAAACCTTTCAAAATCCAACTGAGTAATTCGTAGTGCTACTTGCCAGAAATGTCATAAAATGCTCTTACAAGTAGGACGTGGTCCCTTTCCCAGGATCTGCCTCACGATTCACCCCCTCTGCTGGCTCACTCTCTTGGTGCCAAGTCTTGACAGCCACAGGCTCCACATCCACTTCCTCAGCCTCCATGGGCTCATCAAAGTCACCATCTTCAAAATCCATTGCTCCTGAGTCCTCCTTGTCATCTATACACAATGCTGGCAGCGGCTCTCCTGTAAGCGTCATCACACATTCCCATCACGTACCACTGCTGTGGAACTCAAGGGCCTCCCCAGCCCGGCGACGGTGGCCTACCCTTTCTCCCACACTGTGTTTGCAGTTCTCTTCCATCTCCAAGCTGGATGTTTAACTTTTACTGCTGTGGATTCAAATCTTTCACAACTGAACCTGCCATCACAATACCTGCAAAATCACCTCCACTTCCTCCTTCACGACGCCTCCATTTCTGACAGCATTTTGCAACTGCTCAACACCCTTGTAGGTCTGCCTGACGTCAGACTTACCAGCAAATTCAGCACGTTTAAGAGGAACTGAAGTTAACAGAGGCTCCTTCCTTGAGACAGGGGAAGCAGTTTTTCCTGAAGGAATTGCCTGTAAATATTTTTAAATGTTCAGTTAGACCCGCATACCAAAAAATACGCAACTGTCCTACCCTAACCAGAGAAAATGACAGTTCCCATTATACAACAATTTTATGTATTATTAATGTAACGGCTGCCATTATTTTACTGTTACCTATGTTTACAAAAAAATACTTGTTTCCAGGAAGAAAATCATTGCATTTAGCACAGCTGTAATACCTATAATAAACACATACTAGTTACTAAAAATTTACTATGAAAAGACCAGGCACATGCTATTTTTGAAATACATGAAACTATATAATGAAATGGGAGTCCTAATTTAAAACAAAAATCAAGAACAAATTCAAGGGCGCGTGGGTGGCTCCGTTGGTTAAGCGACTGCCTTCGGCTCAGGTCATGATCCTGGAGTCCCGGGATCGAGTCCCGCGTCGGGCTCCCTGCTCAGCAGGGAGTCTAAAAAAATTAGAAAATAGGGGCGCCTGGGTCTTCCCTCTTGTGCTCTCTATCTCTCATTCTCTCTCTCTCAATAAATAAATAAAATCTTTAAAAAAAAAAAAGAACAAATTCAAAAGCATTTCCCTCATATAGAAAATCAATAGAGTAAGTTTTAAGCAATAATATAAATCAAGATTGAAGGTATCTCCACACACTTTACCTTGGAGGTGTGCACGGAGAAAGGATTCAGTGAAGCTCCAATGGATCTTTTCCTCTTTGGTATCATTATAGGTGGTGGAGTTATTTGAGGTTTCTAAAAGGAGGAATAAGACATAGCCTGCCATGCTTGGCTTACCACAAGACAGAAAAAGTGCATTTCTTCCCCCATTGAAGCCCAATGAGCAAAGCATTTTTTTCCTTCCCTGCTCCCCCCGCAGATCTATGTTCATGTACTGCAGTTACTATAGCAACAATACCACAGACTCACAAGAAAACCAGAATAGATATTAAATCCACCTCTCACCAATTTTTTCTTTTTACAACTTAACATACTTTTCCCCAACCCTTCAAGGATATTACATTTAAAAACTGTCAAACTAGAACCTCACGTGTTGGTGTCAGTTGTTCTAATCAAGGGTTACTGAGAAACACACCTCTAAATGAGTCTTCACGTGAAATAGCCCAACTGCAAATTCCCAGAGCAGCTGAGCCTGTCTGAGTTCTCTCAGGGACAGCTCACTGACTCTTCCTTCACTTACTCTCTGAATTCAAGATGAGCATCTCATGCCTGATTGTGCAGACTGACAGGTCTCAATCTCTTTCGGGAACATACACTGCAGCAACTGAATACAAGCAGAGCGCATTCCCAGAACTGACTCGTGTGTGTACTCTTACTATCTCAAACACATCCCCACGTGGCCCCGTCGACATAATTGCATAGCTTCTAACAGCTGGAAACTACTCACCTAAAGGGGTAAGAAACCAATTTGGAGAGGTGTTTGGGCAGGGGGGTTGGGTTTTTTTGTAGGGTTTTTTTTTGAGGGGGTGCATGTGGTGGTATTATTGTTGAATTTTTTGTTTTAAATTCTAGCAACAGTCTGTTTTGTAAAATTACTGAATTGTTTCTTCAGCCATGTCCCCTGCATATTTGACAACTCCCAGAGAATGACTTACCTCAGTGTTCAGATCTAGTAGAATGTCACCTAGCAGATCATCCTTGGATAAGTCTACAGCTTTCTGGAAATTATAAAGAGAGGGAGAATGAGAAAGCCCTGCACTTCATGTTTTCACCCCACCCATGTGTCTGTGAAAGGAAGAACCCAACCAGTCAGTCCTTGCCTCTTCAGTCCTAAGTACTCATCTACTGTTCACAAGTCTTAACAACCACCTGTGTACATGTAACTCCTAAACCTAGAGCTCCCATCCTGTTTTCACCCTCATTCCATGATCCTCCTGCTAATCAATGAAACAAACACACTGTCCATGCAACTTTTCATTCACTTTTCTATCTCCAAGTTCCAAACAATGAGGTACCTAAATTCACCTGGAAATCTACATCCACCTTTGTAACTGAAATCAGGAAAACACAACTGAAATAGCTGAGCTCAAATACATTGAGCACCTATTGTCTATACAAATACTAAATTTACTTCTCAAAGGAAAAGACAAAATATCAGAAAACCATGAAACTCACATCTGCAGTCTTCTTCCCAGCACTAGCAATGAACATTGACTTGATATTGTTTGGTTTTGTCACCACAGCCTTCTTTACATTCCTCTTGTCTTTGGTACGTGCTTTATCATCTTTTCCTGTTGGAACATAACTGATTTATAAACATGTACTGGCAAAAATCAACATGGGAAACTAAAAGCCAAGTCACCTGCCCTCTGTATAGGAGGATGAGAAGAAAAACACAAAGAATTAAAAATACAAAATGAGATTTTATACATGGTACACAGGAAATAATTGTTAAAAGCAGCTTAATTCAGGAAAACTTGGGCTAAATGTTACGAAAACTGATGATGGGGCACCTGGCTGGCTCAGTCGGTAAAGTATGTGACTCTTCATCTCAGGGTTTTAAGTCTGAGCCCCACATCGTGTGTAAAGATATTAAAAATAAAATCTTAGAAAAATTGAATACCAGAATAAGTTATTAAGTGGGACTATTTAATGGCTATTATTAGTGTGAATAAAAACCTTATTAAAATGTGGAGTTTTTTTGTTTTTGTTTTTGTTTTTTCCCAAGAGAAAATGATCAAGCTCATCTGGAACCAGGGGATTAGTCTAGCAGCCTTCATGAGATCATCTCTTTAGTGCTATCCTGAATCTGGCAGGAAAACTATGAAGAAATAGGACTACCCGTCATGGTAGTATAGCATCCTAATTTCCATCTTATGAGGAACAGCAACTACACACACACAATATGTTATAACAACACTAAATGGCACGGACACATCTGCTCAGTAAAGAACAACTTGTGCCATGTTTTCTCTTATGGCTATGTGTAAATCACCTACGAATTCTTCTAAATCTGTCAGTTTTACTCTCTCTTTCTGATTCATTCTAGAGAAGTCTCTACCTTAAAAAGACCTAGAATGAATAGCTTATATAGTGTGGTAGTGGCGTAAGAATACTCAGACCAGATGAAATAGAAAATTAAATCCAGAAAGACCAAATTACTTATGGCATTTAGCACATAATAAAAGTGGCATCTCCTATCACTGGGGAGAAGATGGACTTTTTAATAAGTAGTGCTGGCTACCCATTTGTAAAGAAGTAAGCCAGTATAAACACCAAATAAATCACAGATCAAAATTTTTAACATGAGAATATGCAAGACTTTAATAAAAAGGCAAGTTCCAGGGCACCTGGGTGGCACAGTCAGTTAAGCCTCCGACTTTTGATTTCAGCTCATGTCATGATCTCAGGGTTGTGGATGGAGCCCTGTATCGGGCTCTGCGCTGGGCATGGAACCTGCTTAAGATTCTCTTTCTCTCCCTCACTCTCTCTCTCTCTCCCTCCATCTCTTAAAAAAAAAAAAAAAAAAGGGCAAGTTCCTGTGTAACCTGGGTGTGGGGAAAGTCTTTATAACTGATTCAAAATCCATCTGCAAGAAAAAAAAAAACTGATAAATTCAATTACAACAGAAACAAGTTTAAAGACAAAACATGAGAAAATGTTTACAATGTTTTGCAGATAAAGGACCAATTTCTCTGATAAAAAAAAAAAATGCCCTGGATTTAAAAATCCCCCAAGCCCAAAAGGAATGAGCACATAAAAAATATATAAAGAGGGGCGCCTGGGTGGCTCAGCCGTTAAGGGACTGCCTTCGGCTCAGGTCATGATCCCAGGGTCCTGGGATCGAGCCCCGCATCGGGCTCCCTGCTCGGCGGGAAGCCTGCTTCTCCCTCTCCCTGCCACTTGTGTTACCTCTCGCTGTCTCTCTCTCTGTCAAACAAATAAATAAAATCTTTAAATATATATATATATACACACACACAAACAGCTATGACATTTTATGAAAAGAGGCTCAACCTCATGTGTAAAAGAAACGCAAACAAAAAGCACACTGAACTGTCGTTTCTCGTGTATGGGAGCAGCAAAACTCCAAGAGCCTCACAATGTGCTCTGTTGGCGAGGCCACAGCAGTATAAATTGTTGGGAGATGGGAGTGTACAATGGGACAACTCCTAGAGCAATAGCTCATAAAACTTCACGTGCATTTTCCTCTCTGAGCCAGCAATCCTCCTTCTAGGAATTTTCTCTGAGGAAAGCACAATATGCATCAAGTTATTCAATGCAGAATTACTTGTAAAAGCAAATTACTGAAAATCTAATTGACAACTCAGCGAAACCATTTGAATACACCATCATCATACATTTATACAGTAAAATACTATGCAACAATATAGAAACAAGTAAAAAAAAAGATCTCTATGTGTTAATATGGGATGATTTTCAGGATATCTTATTAAGTGAAAAAAACACAAAGCACAAAAGCATCTATAGAAAAATATCTTCTGTGTAAGAAAAAAGTAAATAGGGGCGCCTGGGTGGCTCAGTCATTAAGCGACTGCCTTCGGCTCTGGTCATGATCCCAGGGTCCTGGGATCGAGCCCCGCATTGGGCTCCCTGCTCAGCGGGAAGCCTGCTTCTCCCTCCCCTGCTTGTGTTCCCTCTCTCGCTGTGTCGCTGTCAAATAAATAAATAAAAATTACAAAAGTAAATAAAAATATATATACATAATTCCATTCCTGGGTAGATACCCCAAAGAACTGAAAACAGGTGTTCAAACACAAACTTGCACACAAATGTTTATAGCAGCACTATTCACAATAACCATAACGTGGAAACATCCCAAATTCCATCAACTAATAAATGGACAAACAATATGCGGTCTATCCATGCAATGGATTATTGTCATAAAAAAGAATGAAGTACTAATACATGCTACAACATAAGAGAAACTTGAAAACATCATGCTAAACAAAAGGAGCCAGGCACAAATGGTCACATATTTTATCATTCCATTTACCTGAGATATTCAAAATAGGCAAATCCATAGAGACTGAAAGACTAGTAGTTGCCAGGGGATCACGGAAGGAAGACTGGGGAGTGACTGCTTAATGGATATGGGTTTCCACTCAGGGGGATAAAAATGTTCTGGAACTAGGGGCGCCTGGGTGGCTCAGTTGGTTAAGCGACTGCCTTCGGCTCAGGTCATGATCCTGGAGTCCCGGGATCGAGTCCCGCATCGGGCTCCCTGCTGAGCAGGGAGTCTGCTTCTCCCTCTGAACCTCTTCCCTCTCATGCTCTCTATCTCTCATTCTCTCTCTCTCAAATAAATAAATAAAATCTTTAAAAAAAAAAAAGTTCTGGAACCAGATAATGGTCATGACTACTAGCACTGTTAATGTATTAAATGTCACTTATGATAAATTGTATGTGTATTTAACCACAATAAAAAGGGCATTTTTTCATGTGCCTAAAAATGAAAAAGTTTGTAGGACATTTGTGAAAAATGTAAGACAAGAGAAATAATTTTTTACTGAGATGATTTGGCAGTTTGAAAACACTATAATTGATGGTCAAAATGTTTAGAGTACAAAATATACAGGTCCTAATACAGGGTATCAAAAGAGAAGGTCAAAAGAAGTTTGAATAGAAAGGAAGGTTTCATAAGCAGGCTTTAATCTCACCACTGTAGGTTAGTAGTATCTAGAGAGAAGGACAAAAAGAAACATAAAAAATAGGAGTCAACATTTGATGTAGAATCTTCCACAATTTTAGTGCTTCTGTTTGTTTATTCATTTTCCTACTAATTTTTTTCATTAGGACTTAGTTAATATTTTCTGTCTCTATTTGAAAGCATGTCAGGGATTGGATCCACACCATAAAGAGTTGTCCTTTCACATCTATGCAAAACTCTACAACGTCTTCTAAGTCTTTAAAGTGGATTGCAAAATTCCATTTCCCTTCCTAAGATCTTGAGATCTTATGGGGCTCTCCTGGGGGACATTGAAACAGTTGGGACTTCCGGGAGAATGGTGGCAAAGCATGGAATAAAGACTTCCAAGACTAGCTCTCCTCCAGAATGCCAAGTCATCTCTTCACTGATGTATTACTGGGAAGAGATAACAAGATGACAATGGCAACACAAAAATGGCTCATTTACTCAACAAATGCTGCATACTTTCTCTGCACTTGCTACTGTGATTGGCAATGAGATGACTAGGACATGGGTCCTTTTCTCAATCACCTCCCTGTCCAGTGCAACCTAATTTACAGCCAACAAAAGTCATGTCCTGGTAAGTGATAGGACTCATTCAAAATGATACAGACAATGAACAACATAACCAGAACTCGAACAAAGGCCTCCTCAGTTCAGGGAGATAAAAAAGCAGACAGGCTCCTTTCATTCTCTTCTTCATGGACACATGAAAAAATAGGAATACACAATTAGCCACACTGTGACCAAATGGTACCACTGTGTAGAGTTCCTGTATTACACAGGTTGGCAGAAACAGGAAAGACAATCCACATATTCTAACTAATGAATGAATGAATAACATCCCACATTTAAAAAATACACACATCCTTATTTTTTTGTAAAAGGAAAAACATGAAGGATAATCAGAAACTATTAAAAATGGTTCTATGGAAATGCGTAGAAATGAAGAAGTAGAAAGCACAGGGATAAGAGTAAGATTCACCTATCTCAATATCGTTTTGGTTTTGAAATCATAAAAATGTTTTACAATATTCAAAAAATAAAATTAAAATGAAAGGATTTTTAAAAACCCTAATATGAACAAACACAAATGAATCTATAGAGTAAACTGATAAAATAGCATACAGAAAACAATTACCTCATACACCTTCCAAACACAATTCTCTAACTATACACCTTTACCAAGATATAAACCAAATAAAACTGCAAAGAAATTATAAACTTCATTTAGAAAGGCTGTCAGCAGACATGCTAGTTTAGCAGCTCTAAAATTTCTAAAATTATTTTGTTTATTTTAAAGGACAAGGGTTTTCACTGGGGTTGAAGGCAGACACAGATATAGAATTGGGGAAAATGAAGAAGAACCCTGTGGTGCTTTATCTGAATTGAATATATCAGTATGAAATCATGACATATATATAAAATCTCTGAATTCTGTTTACCAAAAGGGCCTACAAACCGTTAGACTCCAGTAGCAAGGAGTACCACCCAACTCCCAGATCTGAATACCATTCTCCACTAAAGGAACCATGACTCTTAGGGGAAATGGTTGATTCCAGGTCTGGGACAAGACTAATACAAGAAGAACCTGGAACATCTTGTTGGCCCAGGAAGCATGGAAATGCTCAAAGACTGATGGTGTCATGTCAAAAGGACACAGAAGGCAGCTCAAAGAGGCTCCCACTGCCAAATGTGGGATAATTTGAACATCACAAAAATAATGATAATGGATATTGAACTGTAACAGTAATTTTCAGTCCATGAGTTTGAAGTGATCATTTTAAAAAGGAGAGAAAAAAATCATCAATAGATGCTGAAAGCATTGGGTGATAGCTGGTAGCTGGTAGGGAAAAGAGACACACAGTCTCAAATTTCACCCCATATTTACATTAATACAAAGGTGGAAAGGTAGCTTTATAAGGAAGAGATCTGACAAACATCATTTTAACCAAGAGATCAAACTTAGTATCACCAAGAATGGGACAAAGTGACCTTATGTGCCCCTGATAAGATCAGTGGGAAGGATACAACTTCATCTATATCGTATTTTTGTCAGGATATTTAACCTGACTCTATGCACCAAGAAGCAATCAGGCAAATCCCAGACCATGGGACATTCAACAAAACCAGCCCAGTCCCTTCAAAGATGTCAAGGTCATGAAAGACCAAAAAAAAAAAAAAGCCAGAGGGGCAGGAGGAGAGGGATGGCACTGTTGCACACTAAGACTCAAGAGACATAAAAACTAAGTGGACTCTGCATCTGAAAAAAACAGAGATCATTTTGGGCTAAATAGGGAAATCTTAATATGAACCAACATATTAGATGATACTATGAGAAGGGTACTGTGGCTAAGTAGACAAGCATCCTTGTTCTTAGGAGGTCACCGAGGAAGCATGTAGAGGTGAAGTGCCATGGTGTTTACAACTTACTTTGAAATAAGTTGACCAAAATAAAATAAAGTCTATTTGTATACAGTTGAGAAGGGGGAAGAAAGTAAACAAATGTAGAAAATGTTAAAAATCCACAATTTAGGGCCCAGACTTTCTGAAAAGGGCAAGATAGCACAGATTTTAGGCTTTGTGCCCACATATGTCTGTCTGGTGCTACGGTGTGTTCTTCTCTGCATTTTTCTCTTTTTTTAAAACACTTTTCAAAAATGAAAAACCATTCTGAGTTGGGGAGCTACACAGTAACAGGCATGATTTCCTTCTGGGATAATGAAAATGTGAGACTGATTGTGGTGATGGCTGCCCAACTCTGTGACTACAGTAAACACCATCGAAATGTACACTTTAAATAGGTGCATTGTATGGGATGTGAATTACAGCTCAATAAAGCTGTTTAAAATAAACTGGCTGTGAGTGGGCCATAGTTTGCTGACCCAGGATCTACAATGGTGATAATAACGAAGCAAATCAAAAAAACAAATACTAAAGATAATTTCCCCTTCACATTTTACAGAAACTAAATCAGGCTCGTTTACTCAAAAAAAATGTTTTGCCAATGATTATGTAGCTAAGAAAATCTGACGCATTCATTTATATCATTTTAAATTTTGATTAGACAAAGCAAGTTGATTACTAAACCTTATTATTGTACTGTACTACTATCAAAGAGCTAAAATTTTAAGTACATCAATTCAGCAGGAATTAAAAGACATCACTTATTGCTGCAGCTCTCAAAATCAGCAAGTCTAAAATGACCACAGAACTGAAATTCAAAAATAAGTAAAAGAGCAAACTCTCTGGATGATAAAGACATGAAAACTTCATTTCATGGTGTTGTTTTTGCCTTTTACATTTAATTTTTGACATAACTATGCTTCTCTCAATATTATAACATATTCTACACCTAAAAACAATTGTGGTAGGTCCTTTTCCTTTAAAGGAAACTGTCAAAGTACCAAGTCATCTCAAATTTTGATTCTTTCCATCTCAAAACGGCACTCTCTTGAAAACAAAATATAGGTACCTTTCTCATGAGAATCAAGGGCATCGTCTTCAAGGTCATCATCAAAAATCTCTCGGCCATCTTCCACATAGCCAATACCATCTGCAGGAACAAAATTTAAAATTAGGATCAAGTTTCTAAAAGTGGCCAGTAATTTTTTAGCCACAACAACAACAACAAAAACACCTTTTATACCTACTCAGATGTTCTCCTGGCCTGTGCCATTTTTAAGCGCAGCAGAATCCTGTTCAGACAGGTATGAGATGAAACACAGCATCTACATAGCAAGTTTGCTGTGTCAAAACCAAAGGACATATGCTATGCCCATCTAGGTGAGCTAGGGAAATGATTTGGCCCACAGCATCAAAGTCTGCCACAACAGGATGCTTAACAGTAGTTTTACTCTACCAAAAGAGTAAAAAGCAAAAGAATCAAGATCACAGAAGCCCAGAAAAGCACATCAGTCTATGAGGGGAAACTGGCAATATGGCTAAGTCCAACTACAGAAATAGAAACATAAATACGGTCGCAGGTGCAATCCACACTGCTCCCCATGGTCAGCAGGCGCATGCCCAACAAGTCACACTGGACAAGCAGGAACCAGTGACTTTCAACATAGGTTGTAAGAACATCAGGACCAGCCTCTATCTGGTGCTTTCGACTGTCCAAGTTACTCTTCACGCATATAGTTTTGTGTAATCCTCACAGCTACTCTGTGCAATAGACAGTTTTCTTATCCCCACATCACCTGAGGATACCCCACAGGCACGTGGTTCTGCCCAATTCCTACAAAGTCATTTCATGGAGGATTTACCTGAGGTATGTGCCTGGATTCTCCAAAATACCCCAAAATAAACTTTCTATTGTACGCCCTCCGCACTCTCAAATAATTTATTTGAGAAAAATCTGAACCAACAGTACCATCTTAACAGTCTTACATTTGCTCATGCAAAGCAGCAACTCTACCACATAAGACTAGATGAAAAGCAACTAAAACAATGCCTAGGAGGCAATTTCTTCCCACATACCATCATCCACGATCCAGTCATCATCCTGGCGGGCCTGAACCAGCTTCGAATACTGTTCTTCATCAACTTCTTCATAAACACTTGTGAAGTCCTCAACCTGCCATCATACAAGTTTGAGAAAGCTTCAAATGGAGTTAAAGTGTTAAACAATTCTGACGAAAAATTGTCAAATTGAAACTGGAATGGCAGCCTGAAGGAGTAGCTGCAACCAAATCATGAGTTCTGACACTCAACACCACTACCAGGTTTTCCTTAAATAGACATCAATTAACTTAGTATTCCTTTTAGGTGGGTGTTAACACAAGATATTAAATGATTCCATTAGCATAATATACTTGTCACACCATCAATTACTCATCTACTTCATAAAAAACAAACTGAATTATAGCCAATTCTTTGTTAGCTGCTTTGGAGATTATTCACTTATAACTTCTAGACTGGTTTCTCCTGTACTTAGCAAACTCATAAGGCATGCCAACTCCCTCGCCCCTAGCTGATGTTGCCCTGCAAACTGACAATTTTAATAACTATTCAACCAAATGTAGTTCAAAAGGAAACCCTCCCCCACCTATCCCCCTCCTCAAATCAGCAAAATAAGCAAAAATAAGCATACTCTCTATTCTATGGGTACACTAGAAATAATTTTTTGAGTGATCCCTATCTGTATTACCACTGATCCGCTACCATTCTGTCTTGAGACTACAGACACTGAAATGCTGAGCTGTGTGAAGGGGAAGTCCTCCAACAACATGAGCTGCCCAACTGCCAGAGGGCCAGAATGCTGGTACCTCCTGGCATGAAGAGAGCAGACCACCTCAGTACAGTTTAAGCAACAAGCAGAACAGAAGCACACGACGTCAGCTGCCATCGACTGACCCAGATGAGAATTTGGTGGGCTGCTCAGAAGAACTCATAGATACCGATTAAAAAATGCCCCTTCTCTCCGGAGTTCAAGTGGGTAGCGAGTAGAGGAAACGACTAACCCCAGTGGAAGAGCTAAGAGTCCAGGAAAAATCACTGGGACACAGAGTTTCGAGAGCCCAATGGGCAGAGCTGACTGGACTCCTGCCACAGCTACAAGACTTATAACAATTACAGGATCAGACTTAGTTTTCACCTGCTGTTTAATCTGTTCTATAGGGATCACTGGCAAATGTTGATCTAGCCTTTCATCATCTGATAATAGAAACTACCTGCCCTACCAAATTAAGTTTTTGACAACACAAACACAAACTAGTCCAATTAATATTACTCTACTGACCAATTTTCTTTTGGCAGGGGAAGGGAACCGGCAGGATTATTTGTGTTGGTTGAAGTCCATGAGGCATTCTTTGTCTTACTTAAGCAACTCACTTCTATACTATCAAAAAGATACCAGAAAACTACCTTAGAAAAACATTTTGAGTAAAAAGTCATTTTGACTCTGTCAAAAAAAACCGTGCTACTGCTTGGCATGAACTCTCAGAGCCATGCAATTAACATGAGTGATTAGAGGGAAATCAGTCACATTGTGTCAACATCTGAAATGCCCCCACACAACTCCTTTATAGAAGTACCTACATTAAAAATGCTTTATTCCTGCTTTACTATAATCCTTTTAGCAACCCTTTGTGATCTGGCTGACTCACTTAACTCGAGTGAATGATGCCAAATGACAAAAATCTTCTTCTACTTTCTTAATTGCACAACACAGTATAGGCCATGGTTAAATATGCATATTCTGAAGCCAGACTGCCTGTGCTCAAATCAAGGCTCTGCCACTGTGACCTCAGGATTCTCACCTATGAAATGCTGTTAATCAGAGTATCTAACTTTTCATGATTACTGGAAAGATTAAATAAATGAACATATTTGTAAAAGCACTTAGAACAGTGTTCACTAAAAAAGTATAGCAGCAGTTGCTGTTATCGTTTTTTCCTCGTATGAATTAATCACTTTCAAGCCCTGAGGCAGCTGAGATAGGGAGCGCGCTGAAGGTAAAGCCAGACAATGCTGTGTTATATGGTAACCACTCTGGTTTTTGTTTTGTTTTTTACCTGCAAATCATCAACAGTAGTTAGAGGAAAACAGCCAAAAGGGCATCACATTCAATCTTACACACAGGACACAGAAGAAAGGCCCAAGCCCTCACCCACTATAGATGAAATTAGGAACAATTTTCTCCAAGGAGAAGCGTGCTTACCTAGACTGCTCACTACCTTAAAAGTAAAGTAAAAGCATTTCTAAGTTCCCCCAGCAAAGCTATGAAACTTACCAAAGCTGCAGTGTTTATTTATCTGAGAGAGTGAGAGAGAGCGAGAGGAAGAGTGCGCACGTGCACACCAGGGGGAAGGTCGGAGGGAGAGGGAGAAGCAGGCTCCCCTGCAAGACTCGATCCCAGGACCCCGGGATTGTGACCTGAGCCAAAGGCAGACCCCTAACCGCTTAACTGACTGAGCCACCAGGCTCCCCATGCAGTCGGCTTAATAAGGAAAAAAATGTATAGCTACTTTCATTTCAGAATTTAACAGCATCTGTAAAGCGCCTTACAGGAACTTAAAGAGCCAAATAGTTGATACAATGTATAAATCTACTTCATGCCCATGCTTGTTCCATAGGAAGAAATTACTCTTACAAGCACAAAATACATGCATATTTCTAATCAGTGACAAAAGGGACATAAAATACCTACAGGCTATAAATTAGATGAAGCACAGAAGAAAAAACAAAAAAAATGGTTACTTACTTCATATTTATACTTCTCACCAGCTTTAGCCCTTTTCAGTCTTTCTAGAGCTTCCTGGCGCCCTCTCTTTGATTTCTTTTCTCGCCGGGATCTAGAAGCTACAAAAGTCCCTGAATCTGACACAGCTGAAAAAAAGCCAAGTTTACATGAGATGTTACAAATTGTCAGCCATCTTCCCTCAGTAACAGGAACATTTCTAGTCAACGGTAACACGATTTTAATATACAAATGGATACTTTTCATACTGTAGATGGTTCTTTAAGGTCATGTTCATATAGCTCCTGTGACTCCAGAAATTCTAAGACCCAGTTAAAACAACTGAAGCAACTGTTATTTTTTTCCTCCAAAAAGAGGAAAATTCAACTGATACCTTATGAAAACAGTAGAGAAAAGAGATCAGTTATTAGTCCATAACCTTTCCATTAGAAATGACAGGCCATAAGTAGAGTTATAAAAGGACAATTCATTTTGTATTCTTTCAATCAAAATTTGAAAAGCTTTATTTTTTAAAGCTTATTTTTTAATTTGTGCTTTTTATTTTTTTAAAGATTTTATTTATTTGATACAGACACAGAGAGAGAAAGCACAAGGAAGGGCAGAGGGAGAAGCAGACTCCCCGCTGAGCAGGGAGCCCGACGCGGGGCTCAATCCTAGGCCCTGAGATCATGACCCAAGCTGAAGGCTGGCGCCCAACTGACTGAGCCACCCAGGCGCCCCCAAAATTTGAAAGGCTTTAAAGGAGCATCTGCTCTTTGCAAAGTACTGGGCGCTCTGAAAGACAAAAAGGTCAGCAAGACATGTTATCTGTACTCACAGAACTTATAATCTAAAATGGGAGATAAGTAGCAACTAACTCAAAAACAATCTTTAGAATACATGCCCTAACAGAGGTTCAGATAAAGTATTTGGAATTTCAAAGCAGGGATAAAGTGGGGGGTTGGGAGAATTTAAAAACATGGCTCTGAAGAGATTCTTGATTCCTTCACTGATTTCCAGGCCTCAGTCACTTGGTTAGGACATAGGATGATAGTGCAAAATTACAAAGATTAAAATGTATTTTGTCAAAAATTACTGGAATACTAGAAGGCCTCAGTGTTCATTCATTCAACTTTTGAATTACTCATGCTTTTGGTCGTTATAAACTGACCACCACACACATATACTGAAGAGTTCATCCACAAAACTAAGACTTTCATTTACCAGCTGATGAATAACCAAGTCAAGCAAGACAGTGCTGCCTGCCATTTTGGCTTCGGACAATTGCCATCTATGTCTGTGAAACTGACTTTTTTACTGTATTTGGTGCTAATTATTTCATAAAAAGAAGGAGGCACAGAAAAGAAGTATTGATAAGATACATCCTAAAAGCTCCAACCCCTCTGGAACATTCATAACAACATTCAACTCACGGACAAAACGTTTGACAGAAATAGAAGATTCAATTTAAAGAACAAGTACCAAATGCTGACAATAAACTGTTGGAAACTAAATCTTACAGGTGAAGCATAATTAGAGATTTTATTTTTTTTCTAGCTTTCTGGAAATGAAATCTCTCTTTAACATCTCAGTCTATTGTTTGACTTTCGCATTTGACTTTTATATCCATTTTCAGAAAGGCATTAAGTAAAAATTAAGGAATGCAGGTACTTAATGATGACAGCCACAAAATCTTGGGCGTCACTCAAATAATTTCAAAAAATCATGAGCAGGTCTACATGAAAAGGTTTCGGAGATTACTGGGCATGACCACTGAGAGTGAAAAGTTGGCCTCAGTATATTCTCTTAAAGATGCTGTCGACCCCTTTAGTAGACTCTCTTGACAAAATGTATAGTTCTTCAAATGGACTTACTTCACAGGCAACAATGTGCCATTCTACAGGGTTTGCGTACAATTACAGGAAGGAAGAGTTGCCTATCCTTAAGGGAACTCACAAGTCAAAGCAAAAGGACCTGAGGCTCCTACCATCATACAGACATGATGCCACAGAAGAGGTAAGGACAAGTTACTGAGGAAACACAGAAAAGAATGCTGCTAATTTTGTCTGAGAAATTATAGAAGGCTTCACAGGCGAGGTATCCAACACAGACCCAGAAAGCATTAGAATTTCACCATCAGAGTATAGGGGAAAGGGGGCAGAAGCACAGAAAAAAGCATGAGCCAAATTACAAAGGGATGAAACTGCAAGGTGTATTCAGAAACAGAGAAAGTCAGTATGGAAGGTAAATCTTACATAGAGTTGCAGAGTGGGAGAACAGGAGATTAGGGAGAAGCAGCACAATCCGGCTCCACCACTTACTGGGAGACATGAGACCACCAGTTAACATCTCTGAGCTGCAGTGACCAGATGCCTTGTTGTTGGTTTTTAAGCTGCCTGGCACCTGAACCTGTTTGTGAAATCCCCTCCTTATAAACCTTAATGGGACTCAGAGCCCAAGTCCCATTATAGAAGTTGAAAAAGCAGACGCTCTTTCCCACACACCCTTGCAGCTAGGGCATGAACATATAAAATAAGCTCTATCAATTAGGAACACCTGCTCAGACTTTACATCAGAAGCTAGTGTCAGAAGGAAAGTGGCTAATGGAAGATTCTAGAAGTAGCAACAGCTGCAAGAGGATTACTTGGGGTCACAGAGCCAGCAATGTCCCAAAGTACAAACTATAACATCAAGTACTTGGCCATGGCTGGCAACGACCTCACTAGACCAGTTTTGTGGCACAACTTTAATCACCGTTCCTGGGTAAGCAGCACCCCCCCCCCGCAAATGATTCTCCAGTCCACCTGGAGTTTCTGTGAACAACACAATATCCTTCTAATCCCTAAAATACTTAAAATAAATTCCTTCTTTTCTATTTACATCAGCTAGAGTTGGCTCCTGTAGCTTACACCTAAGGACTCTGACTAATGCAGAGCCTCAGGGTCCTCATCTGTGAAATGGGGATAATCATATCTGCTTCATAAAGTTGTTAAGGATTAAATGAAGATCCTTGGCTTACTTTGTATTCAGCAATACAGAATCTCATTTAATGTATGTGTATATGTGTACAGAGGCAGGGGAGACACACACACCAACACACATAACCCACAACACTACACCCAGCAATACCATGATGGTCTAGCTTCTAGAAAGCAAAAATAAAGCAAAGTGGTTTTCTCAGAGAAGCCTCAATATAGCACCACACATAATTAGCTCTTTACCATCTCAACTCCTGGAAGACAGAAACTATGTCCAGCTTACCTACCATTTTAACAGTGTAACACCGGAGCCTGGCAGAATGCCTATACCTAGTAGGTACATAATAAATATTTGCTGAATGAACAAATGAATAAACCACCGTACCTTTTTTAAATCATTAAACTCTCCCTGATCCCTTTTCATACTAATAATAGCTAGTTATAGACCTTTCAACTTTTCACTGCCATTGTCAAGGTACCCCACTTTCTAATACCTAAGAAAAAAGGCCTAGAATTTCCTTCTTGGAATGTGTCCAATGCTTCATGTAGGTAAGTTAACAACAACAAAAAAAAAGCATGAAAAAAATCCATTACAAAAGTTTAAATATTTGGTTCAAAATTACCATCTGAAGTACCCCCACCCTCCCCAAAAGCAGACAGACACTAGCCTCCAACAGTCTTTCAGGTAAGAATCTTTCCACTCTTTAAGGGAAAAATTCCAGTCACAAGTCTCCAGCAACTACTTAATCAACAACATGACTTAAGAGGGGTCTCAAGATTACACAGTATCCTCCAAAGAGTGATTTCTTGATGTTCACAGATGACGTACCATTTTTAGGGTGAAGAAAGACACCCTAGGGGCAAATCACTGATGGAGGGCTGCAAAGGCTGTTCACATACTCACATCCTACATCTCATTTGTAATCCAAGCTAGACGACTCTCCAAAACAAATTGTCTTAAAAATGAAAGACTAGAACAAATTGATATCTGTGATTCACAACTAGGTGAATGCAAAGGAAGCTGATTAGAAAGCAAGTTCTCATTAATGGAGATGTATCTGAGTGACAGGAAATGTACCTTGAGCTAAGAAAGTGAAGCATCTGATTTTAAGTCAGAAGTTCACTAAAGTCACACTTTAGTTGAACACAGTTCAAAAATCAGAAATCGACAAAGCCATTTACATTTTTGTATTCTATTTTTGGAAATAAAAGATTACCACTGAAAACGAAGTCATATACAGGGCATCCCGAATGCTGACGCAATTTTTTTTTTTGAAACTTCACCAAAGATGACTAGATTGTGAATACTATTTCTATACAGCACTTGACGAACTTTCCATAGAATTTTAAAGAAAAAACTGTTAATGCATGAGGTTGAAACCCATTACCTAAAAAGACAAAACGCATTTGTATCTTCTGGTGACAGTCCTGAGACCTTCTTTCCTGCTGAGTTTAGTGTATAAAATTTCCCTGGGAGTTTCTATAGAAAGGGTGCGCATCCGTTCTGTCCTAGCCCTCAAAAAGATACTTGGGGCCAGAGTTGTTAGATACTTTGAACCAAGACTGTGCCCCACTGGGGCCACTCTGATGAAGGTGTGCCCAGCACGTGGAACGCAGTCACCAAAAGAAATAACAAAATGCAGACTAGTGCGGAGACCAGCAGTGACACAGGCCCTGCAAGGGATGCGTTCTGGTTTTCCAGGAGCAAACGGCCCTGCGAGGAAGCCCCACCCGACACCAAATGGGTCCGAGCAGGGGACAACCGAGGTCCGCGCCCAAAAGGACCCGTCAGGCGACCCGGACGCGCGCCTCCCTAAGAAAAAATTTAAAAAGACCTCTCCAGAGCCCTCACCACCCGCAATCATACCACGGTCCCTGCACTCCCAACCCGGTACCCCGCGCGCGGGGTCGTCCCTCACCGCTCGACCCCAGGTCGCAGTCCTCGCCGTTCACGGGCGCCATGGTCCTGAAGTATCCCGATTCCGCGCCAACCAGCCCGAAACTGGCGCGGCGGCCGAGACAGGCGCTAGGCTGAAAACCAATCAGAGGCTCCGGAGGCTGCGGACTTCCGCCCGGAAGGCCACTGACGTGCCGCGCCGCGCCGCGCCCCGCCCCCGGCCTTCCCGCGGACGCGAGTTTGGCGCCCTGTTATGACCCCTTAGGGAAAAAGCTCGAGTGACGGGGAGGCCGAGGAGAGCGGGAAAAAGAAGCGGCCGGGCGCTGGAAAGGAGCCGCCAGGAAGCTCGCTGCGCAGGCGCACCCATGCTGATGGGAAAAGATTTGGGCGCGTTAGAGTAGGGGCTTTCTGGTTCTGAGAGCTGATTTTCCTAGAAAAAAGACGCGGGCGGGCAGTAGCATGGGCGTGGTTGGACCGGTTTCCCCAGAGCCTGGGAAAGCGACTGCCTCCTGCTGCGCATTCTGAGTCTTGCCTGATAACTTTGCTTCTTAGCGTGTAAACACAGTCGCTGTGTGATTTATAGATATAAATGTATGTATGTATACATATGTACGTATATATATATAAAGCACAATCTTACCCAGTTGACCAAAACACGCATCACCAATAAGGGGCAATCATATGCCTCCTTATGTGATTCACTTGGAAAAGGGAACAACATCACCTATATAATCTTGCAAAAAATGTTTAACCTGAATCTAACCATGAAGAAACAAACGGATATATTAAAAGCATAGGACGGTCTATAAGACATCTGGCCCGGACTCTTGCAAAATGTCACTGTTACGAAAGAAAAAAAGAGCATTATATGCTTGTATTCTGTACAATGCATATAATATATGTATCTTATTTTATATTTTTCCAAATAGGTGTAACATTTTTATACATGTGCCTGCCCCACATTTGTAATATTTTTTCCTACATTTTTGCTAACATACTTGTTGCTCTCTTCCTCACATGACAATTTTATAATACAATTTTCTCTAAAGAGAATATAAAGATAATTCAGTCTGTCCTCCAGCATGGCTGATCAATGTTTGCTTCTTAATTTCTGATTTTTTTGAAATTTTTCTTTCAGTTTTATACCATTACTTAATATCATGTTAAGATATGATCCATATGTTGTGATACATAGCACTTAGTAATTCACACTTAGATCCACTATTGGTTAAAGCACTAGTACAGATTTATGCCTATACTTTTCCTTTAAAGAAATTGTTGCAACTTTGATATTATAAGGTTTATTCCTAACAGGAGAGAACTGTTTTGGCTAGGCATTAATAACAACCAAATCTTTCCTGGGGCGCCTGGGTGGCTCAGTTGGTTAAGCGACTGCCTTCGGCTCAGGTCATGATCCTGGAGTCCCGGGATAGAGTCCCACATCGGGCTTCCTGCTCAGCAGGGAGTCTGCTTCTCCCTCTGACCCTCTTCCCTCTCGTGCTTTCTATCTTTCATTCTCTCTCTCTCTCAAATAAATAAATAAAATCTTTTAAAAAAAAGAACCAAATCTTTCCTTTACAGCGTCACATGTATGATCATTTTCCACATGCCACCTTAGAACTCTAAGCATTTCAGATCTTGTTTCTCTTTCATGACCCACATACTTCCAGGGGCCAGGACCTGTAGGACACTTTCATATTGTGATATCACTTCTGGCCCTGCACATTCAGGTCAAAACTCCAAGTCAGCACAGTGGGGTAGGAATATTCCTGGAAGCTATTCCTACAACCAGGAGGTCTATCAATATCTTAAATATAACGAGAGTGTTTTCAACTGACATAGATGCCACCAAGTCTAAATGTAATGCAACACCAACTCAACTTTCCCATAGGAGAGTCCCACGATGACTGTGCCCACTCCACCACCACCACCAGGCAGGAAGGGAAGTGTATCAAAGGAACATGCGGTGATTCTCAAGAGCTGATTGTTACATATTCAGGAATTTCATAATCTGCTTGTTAAGTTTTTGGTAGCTTGAAATCAGCCATGGAGGGAGTATTTACACCATGGAAATGGGCAAATGCTACAAATAAAAAACCAGGACCCCCCCTTTTCTTTTAAGAGAGAAACAGTTTACCAGCAAACCACCAAGTAGCCAAAACAGATTGTAGTTAAAAATCTTACTTTTGTGAATTTTCACAAAAACAAGAGACCATTGCTAGAGCATCTTCCAGGGCCTCAGAAGTGGCCCATAAGCAAGCAAGAGGCCTCGAAGATGGTTTCATTAACTTCATTGTAAATCTACCTCTGTTACCTAGTCATGCAAAAAAAAAAATTACAATTTGTCTTAAACTTGCTCTCTCCTGTCCAACACAGGATGAGTTTTGCACTGGTTTTACAAACTGAAAAGTTGTTTAAATTTATCATTATTACTAAAAACAAAGAAAAACAAATTAAGACTAAAGTGAGATACTATTTCCCATCATTCCTATCTTTTTTTCTATATCTCTCTATATAAACTCTATCCATTGCTGGTAAACTACTGTTGAGGAACTGCTTATCTTTTGCCAGTGGCAGTGTAAATAGGTACAACCTTCTGGAAAATAATATTGCAAGATGTGGCAAGTACCATAGCATGCTTTTATCTTTCAAACCATGATTTCTGCGGGTAAAAGTTAATAGAAAATAACTCACAAGAAACAGAATAAATGCAAAGATGTCAATGGCTACTATTTTCCATCCGCAAAAAGTTGGGACCTAAATGTCTACATCAGAGAAGAGGTTTAGGGGCGCCTGGGTGGCTCTGTCAGTTAAGCGGCTGCTTTGGCTCCGGTCATGATCCCTGAGTCTTGGGATCAAGCCCCGCATCATCAGGCTTCTTGCTCAGCGGGGAGCCTGCTTCTCCCTCTGCAGCCCCCCTCATGCGCTCTCCATCTCTCTCTCAAATAAATAAATAAAATCTTTAAAAAAAGAGAGAAGAAGAAGTTTAATGATGTGACATCAAAATGGTAAAATAATTGGGAAAACTCAAAACATGGGAAATGTGTATGATATTTTATAAAGTGAAAAGAGCAGAAGGAAAAGTGATATGCACACTTAATTACAACTGTATATCAAATAGCAATGCTATGTAAAAATGGAGTATACCTTCTCCAGATGATAGCATTATAGATTCTTTTTGCTTACAATCTGTTCTCCTTAATATTATGCCAGGAGGCATTACAACATCAGGTAGAGTCAGATTTCGGGTTTGATTCTTAGACTACTTCTTTTCAGTGATCATCAGCTGGTTACTGAAACCTCAGTTTCTTCCTCTATAAAACAAAGGTGCTTATACTTACCTAAGGAGCAATTGTGGAATTTCATTGAAATAATACATGTACAGTGCCATTAAGATGCCAACACCTAAAAGGCATTCAACAAATAGCTATTACTCTTATTGTATTTTTACAGTAAGATTTGCCATTACACTGATCTTACTAATAACTCTACAAGGTAGGTATGTCAAGAAATTGCTATTTGCCTACTGCTACATTCATTCTCGCCCTTATTCTTGTAATGAAATGTGGACTTTTGGCTGGGCGCATTGACAGAGGAAAGGACTGTATTTCCCAGCCTCCTTTGCACCAAGGTTTAGCTAAATGACTAATTTCTGGCACACCAGACTTAAGCAATACCATTGTGGGGAGAGTTACAGGAAGGATGCTTAATGAAATTGGATACATCCAGAAGGGAACTCTCTTTTTTTGCCCTTTTGCCTTTTCTCTCTTCCTGCAGCACAGATGTGATGGCGGAAGCTCCAACAGCCATCTTGGATTATGAGATAACTCTGAAGATGATAGCCACACAAGGAGATGATGGAACAGAATGATAAGAGCCTTGGTCTAACATCTGTAAAGCCACCATACCAGCCCAAGCTATTTGTCTACTCTCCAAGCAAACTTTCTTTCATAAACTAGACTCTTTTTTTTTTTTTTTCTAGAGGGGAAAACAACCAGCCAACCAAATTCTATTCTGGCAGGTATACTGCCAGGTATATTTCTCATCGCAATCAATAAATTAACACTCAGGCCAATAGCAGTGTGAGTTTGCTAGCATGAACCTGGTTATCTTTGGGTTTATTAACAAAATCAGCTTTGTGGCCATGCGGAGTTTCTGAACACAACTAGGTAATGCAGTTTATGTGCAGCTGTGGAGAGATGATTGTCTGCCAGCTGAAAATAGGCAAGGAAAGGAGTGGCGCTGTGTGTGCCCTTGACGTCCCACAAGGATTCCGGGTGGTATGAGTAGATATGCAACTCCCCTGGTCATCTAGCTGGTGGTGCCCAAGCTCAAATCATTTTCCCAGGCACCTAAGTTGCAAAGACCCTCTCTTGACTTACTTGCTTATTAAAAGGCATAGGGGGACACCTGGGTGACTCAGTCAGTTGAGCGTCTGACTCTTGCTTTAGGCTCCGGTCCTGTGATCTCGGGGGCCGTCCTGGAGTCAGCCCCACTGTCAGGCTCTGAACTCAGCGGGAAGTCGGCTTGGGTTGCTTTCTC